CTGGACAGCCAAGAAGGACAGCACACGCAAACCGACGGGAAGACACCCCGCATCGAGGGCAGAAGGTGTATGGGACCGCGCGAGAAAGGCGGTGCTGTCGTAGCCCCACCAGTGGAGCCTAGCCAGTTCGAGCCTTCGCCTTGCATCGCGAGTGCGAGGATGAGATTCGCTTCGCTCAGGCCTGGCGCGCCATCCTGTCACGGGTCTGGAACGAGCGAACGATTCTATTGCAATGCTCACACCTCCAGGCGCTGCGCGCCCATTCAATACTGTGACGGCCAGGCGCAGGAACGATGGGGATTCGACTCACTCTGGTGGGTGCGGGGGCCTGGGGCTCTGGCGCCCTTGGGGCGCCCCGTGGTGTCCGCGGAGGTCCCCGCCTTGGAGGTGATAGAGCCGACCAAGCCCAGGATAGATGTGACTTCCTTGGGCATGGTTCGCCAAGTATCGAGTAAGTGCTGGGGGGACGGGGCAGAGCGCTGCACCGGCCTTAGTCTGCTTGTCTGCCTCTCCATTCCCAAGGATATCAGCGCGAGCTTCCCCCTCGAGCACGCCGAGGTTGGCTTTGGAATGCGCATTGACCTTCACCACCGCCAGGTCCCTCTCCCCCGCGAAAGAATCTTCGATGCCATTCCATATCGGCAGCCAGATGTCAGCGAGGGGGCGTAGCGCCTGACGGCACCAAGCTCGCCTGCGCCGAAAACTCTGGATCACCGTTGACATGATGTATGCCAACACAGAGCGGCGCCGCTTCCCGACGAAGAGCATCGAGGAAACCAGTCAGTTCAGCGCGCGGAACGGGCTGCGCCTGCCTGACCCCTGGGACCGAGCCGTGCACGGCCCTTCGGACATGCTCCCTGACGGCCCAGGTCTCCAGGTCTTCCTTGCGACCCCCTCGCTTCAGGAGTGAGTGCTTCTCTTGTGCAGGAGACGGTGCAGCGGTGATCGACGTGCCGGGAAGCAGAACCCCCGCCCAGACGCCTGGAGCCCTGGCGCCCCGACCCCCGACCCACCGGAGTGGGCCAGCCGCGACGAGCGAGGGTCGCCCCCCAAGGCTTGGGCCCCTGGGCATCGGCCGTGAGCGCGGACGTCCCAGAAGGGGTCCCCGAGAGGGTGCCCGGCGAGGGCAGCCTGGAGAGGGTGCCCTGGAGAGGGTCCCCTGGAGAGGGTCCCCGAGAGGGTGCCCGAGAACAGGAGGGAGGAGGAGGAGGAGGAGGCGGAGGCCTCAGCCCGACGTGCAGCGTCAGGGGATTCCTCGCCCGCTTCCCGTCCCAGCCGCTGAAGAGGCTGGGCATTTGCAGAACTTGTGGTGCTGACTGCCTACTTCGTATCCGCACTGCTGACACGTGCGATCGTCTGAGCATCCAGCGCGCCATACCTTGTCCGGAGTTCAGAAATCGCCTCCTGAGTAAGCCATCATGGCCGCCTATCGCTGTCCTCGCCCTTTCTCCTCAGATTTGAGTGGAAATGCATCTAACGGCGAGCGGACCAAACAGGAGGAGGAGGAGGAGGAGGAGGAGGAGGAGGAGGAGGAGGAGGAGGAGGAGGAGGAGGAGGAGGAGGAGGAGGAGGAGGAGGAGGAGGAGGAGGAGGAGGAGGAGGAATAGGAAAAGGAGGAGAGAAGGCGGAGAGGAGGAGGAGGGAGGAGGAGGGAGGAGGAGGAGGAGGAGGAGGAGGAGGACTAAGATGAGGGGAGGAGGAGGCGGAGGAGGAGGAGGAGGGGGAAGAGGAGGAGGAATGAGGAGGAGGATGAGGGAGGAGGAGGAGGAGGAGGAGGAGGAGGAGGAGGAGGAGGAGGAGGAGGAGGGAGGGAGGGGGGAGGGAGGAGGGAGGGAGGGGAGGAGGGAGGGAGGGAGGGGAGGGAGGGAGGGGGGAGGGGGAAAATGGATGAATGAATGATGATGATGATGATGAGATGATGATGATGATGATGATGATGATGATGATGATGATGATGATGTGATGATGATGATGATGATGATGATGATGATGATGATGATGATGATGATGATGATGATTGAGATGATGATGGATGAATGATGATGATGATGATGATGATGATGAGATGATGATGATGATGGATGATGATGATGATGATGATGATGAGATGATGATGAGGAGGAGGAGGAGGAGGAGGAGGAGGATAGGAGGAGGAGGAGGAGGAGGAGGAGGAGGAGGAGGAGGAGGAGGAGGAGGAGGAGGATGAGGAGGAGGAGGAGGGAGGAGGAGGAGGAGGAGGAAGGAGGAGGAGGAGGAGGAGGAGGAGGAGGAGGAGAGGAGGAGGGAGGAGGAGGAGAGAGGAGGAGGAGGAGGAGGAGGAGGAGAGGAGGGAGGAGGGAGGGAGGAGGGAGGGAGGGAGGGAGGGAGGAGGCGGGAGTGGGGGAGGGAGGGGAGGGAGGGAAAGAAGGAGGAGAATTTGGGGGGGAGGATGAGGAGATGCGAGAAGAGGAGGGGATGGGGAGAGGCGAGGATGTGCAGACAGGAGAGGAGGAGCAGGAGG